TTAAGGTTAAGAAGCCAAGCCTGGGCTTCGCCGCCCGACTTTCTGAGGCACTTGGCATGTTGGCGCCGCTGGTGCACCCTTGGGTCATGCACGCGGGTACTCTTGGCCGGTCGCCGCTTTGGTTCAAAACAACATGGGCGTACCGGGTGCAGTTTTCGTTTGCTCGGACACCAAAAGTGAGCCAGAAGGCCCTCTGGTTCATAGCTGAGTTCCCGAGTTGGCAAACACGAGGTCGGACTTTGGCCAATTCACTCAAGTGAGGTATAGATTTCATCACCAGCGAGGGAACTCAACCAGGGAAGGTGTTCTGCGCTTTTCTTTTTTTCGGAAGGGGTGCTCACGGGGATGTGGTTTCACAGCTCCAATGCTTGCAAAACACTGTAAACACCATGCTTGTTCGTATTTTTACTAGTGTGTTTGACAACGTTTCTATCACCCTCCAGCACCCCCCAATGGCTGGCCAATTGCCGGCACATCGATTTTGGGCAAAACGATGTCACTTTATGTCTAAGTGACTGCAAAATCACTCATCTGTACTTAGTGCAAATTTGTGCAATGATACAAGTGACCTTCCAGGTCCTTTGGAATGGGGTTGGAGGGGAAAGGGGAGATTGGCAAATTTGAGGTTTGGAGGGCAAGTTTGAGGTTGGGAGGGGTTCTTGAGGAGCGTGTCACGGCGTGTCACGGCGTGTCGGGGGGTGGCCAATTGCCGGCACATGTACGTTGAACGGTCACGTTTTTGGGATGTGAGCGTGTCACTAGCGTGTCGCCCCCCCTCCCGCCCCCGCGCGTTGCATGTGCAATGATCATACATGTCAGCTCAACCCCTCAACCGGATCCCCTCTGGTATCCTGAAGTGACGTTTCAACAAAAGTGACTTTGCACTGCACTTTGATGATGGCAAAAAAATCTATGCGATTACAAAAACATTTTTAAGCAAGTGCTGGTCAATTGCCGGCACTTCACCCAGGACGCCAAATACCGGCCATCGGGGGGGCCTGGCTCTCTTTGTTTCGTTGCACCCCAAACCATCAGGAAGGACACCATTCGGCGTTTGGATCTCCAAGCGCTGCACCTCAAGAATCAGCGGATCTTTGAACTGAACCAACTTTTTGGTTGAAACAGGCGGGTTTTGGGTATTGGACCCGCAAGTTAACAACCTTTTGCGGAAGGGTCAACGTCCCAAGATTCTTCGGGTAGCAGGTGAATTGCAGGGGGTGGGATCTGGGATTTACAGGGTGAGTGAATCCGCCTGACATGCTTCCAGCTCTGGGTGGTGAGGCCTGGCCCCATACCCAGCTGCAGCTTCTCCTTGGCCCCCTTCAGACCAAGAGACATGTTCCCATCCGCCAGTTCCCCAGCGTCGAGTTGGCGACTGGAATCACCCCTCAGAAGCCTATGGGTGCAGCCCTACATCTTTCCTAAGCCAGGGCATCTTTTTACCCTCCCACTTAACGTGGAACCTGGCGTTCGGGGGTCCCGGAAGAATTTGTTGCAATATTGAGGAAGTCACTTTAATGGGCCCCGCATTACCAAAAGGAAGCCAAGCAGGGATGGACAACAGTTTGTTTTCCTAGGCTTTCACCCGGGTTGAGTTGAGCCTGTTGGCTCCAACCCCAAAAAATCAAGAGCATTGGTAAAAGGAAAAAATGATCAGCTTTGATAGTTCTCGCTTGCCCAAAGCGAATCGCTTGACCATTTATTGGATCCGAAATGGGCAAGTAAGTATCCCCTTTCTGGCCGTGGGCCAAACCAACGGTACCATGGGTAGGTGCACCACCCATTTCAGTCTATCTTAGTGGGGATTGGGATGTTCACGGGGGGTACGGGCTTTTGACCCATGGCCTTGTGCCAGCCACACTTCCTTCGAAGCCAGAGGAAAAAACGTGCCAGACTCTTGGGGAAATCCAGCTCGACGACCCCTTGGGCAAGCTCCAAAGATGATCGTCTCAATGCATGGAGCTTCAAAAACACCGTTTAGAGGGAAGTCCTCTTGGAGGACTCACCTTTTTTGGGTTCCATATCAGTTTGCAGGATGTATATATCCTTCGTATAGTGGCTGATCTCATCCACCTGATGCGGAGTGTTTTCTTTTGGATGTTGCCGTGTGCTGCGGGTCTTGCTTGCGTGAGGCTGTTTTTTCCCGGCCTGATGCTGCCTTTCGTGCTGCTGCAGTTCTGGGTGCCGAAGCCGCCGAGCTTCAACCCAGCCTCGGCGATTCATCCGGAGGTTCATCCGGAGACAATCGCTGAGCTCAGCCCAGAGCCTCCGAGCTGCGAGGAGTTGGAGGCGCCGATCGAGTTGGAGGAAGAAGTTCCCACCGACGAAGCTTGCAGAGGCAACGTGAGTAGACGGCAAAAGCTGTAATTTTTTTACGCCCAAAGCACGCCCAACCGGGCAAAAGCCTGAGTTTCACCTGTTTTAACAAGCTCCACTCGGGCTTGTTTCCTTTTGTTTTGTGGCGGGTTTGGCGTCTTTTTGGCCATCCCATGTTTGGAATGTTCGCTCTTGCCAGGCGCTCGCTTCCAAACAGACCAACTCACCTTTGCAACTGGCCAGCCACCATTTGCCTGCTTCTTACTCACTTTGTCCCCCACTCTTTTTTCCAGGTTTTGCGAGCTTTGGGGAAGCGACGCGCGGAGAGTACCTGCCAAACGGGCAATGAGGTTACAAGATCCTCAAGCTTACGTCCGTCAGACTCTGAACAACTCAGCTTCTGAACTGTGTGGAACAAGAGGGTGTGGGCTGAGACAGGTGCCATACTCCGGAGTGGCCAAACTACTGCTTAAAGGCGCAGATGTGGCCCCAAGCCGCAAGATCTATGTGCCCAGCGGTGGGCTTGAAATTCTGGTTCCGCGAGGAGTTTGGCAAATGGATGATTCCCCTGCTTTGCTTTATATCTTTCTATTGGGTTTTAGTGAGCCTCCCATGTGGGTGTGTCGTTTTTGAGGGTAACTTAGTTAAGCCACGCCACAAAGCCGCAATGCGGTTCCATTGGGTTGCACCAAAGATTGCATGGGCGCAGCCTCAGGGTTCCATATTTTCTAACACCCCAAGGCAAAGTGAAGCCCAGGAGTGGTAAATTCCGAGAAAAGAACATGCTAGGTTTAAGTCTGCCTTGGTGTCAAGACCTGGAACTCTGTTAGCCTAAGCTTGAGCAACTGTTACCACATAAAACAAAAGCCATCACAAGGGTCTTTCGAATTGCCCCAAGCATCTTCAAAGTGCACTTAGGTACCATCTTCAAATTGCCTCGGAAGGTGTTGGGCCGAACAAGGGTAGACGTGAAACAATCCTCGCCTCTGTGTCTTCCAGGTGGGTTGGACCGCCATTTTCCGAGCAACTCATTTAGCTCTTGGGCCCGCCCAAACTTTTGGAGGGAGGCGGATGGACCGAAACGGACCGAAACGGGCGGAGGCTGGTTGAAACCGAGCCTCCCGGAAGTTGCCAACTTCGCCCAGTTCTTTTTTGGTTGGGAGATTCGGTTCCCCTAAAATAGACTCCAGGAAAAAGTTGGTGCCAACTTATTCTAAGCTCTCTGCTGGAGGACCTAGAACTGGTTTTCAGGACCTCGCAAGATTCCAGCCAACAAACCGTTTGGTTCAACAAGAAATGAGTTGCCCTCTTCCCTGCCGGGCGCACGCAGGTTAAAAGTCGATGTCGCGGTTTCCATACTTGAGACGGAATCAACACTTTTTGCAAAACGAGTTGCGCAATTGCCGCTTTCGAGCCCGACATGACTCGTTCTGCTTTTACAGATACTAAAGTGGTCGACACCTCCAACAACACGCGTGTGTTCGTCAAGGAAATGCTTTTCCGCACCAACTCCTGCACCAACGCCTGTGACAACTCCTGCACCGACCACCGCTTTGCCAACTGTCGCTCCAGCTCCTGCCACCACAACTACAGCAGCAGCGACCACAACCACAGCCCCCGCTCCAGCCGCAAACACAATGGTCGCTCCAGAGCCTGCGACCACGACTACAACTCCAGCACCTCTCACCATAACTACAGCTCCAGCGCCTGCTGCCACAACTACCGCAGCTCCAACTAAAAGGTTAGAAATTAAGACGGTTCAAGGCAATTACTCACACGTGCGGCGAGGTGCGGGAGGTAGAATCGTTTGTAATTTGAACAGTTGTCCATGCACAAGTAGGTGCCGCGGCTTCGAATCGCGAGTTGTCAATTGATGTTCAGCTTGCCAAAAGAAAATGTTGCTTTGCCCCCCTAGCATCACCCGTGGTTTAGTAAAGGAGGTGCTTGTCGGCTTACTAGAAGTAGATGCGAGATAGGTCCGTAGACTAAATCGGTCGACACCCCCATTACCACAGCTGCTTTAGCAAGACACACGAAGGCTAACAATTGCAAAGCTAGGACGACCCAGCGTCCGTGCATGCGAATCAAGTAGCCGAGGCAGGAATCGTTTGGAGCTTGACTTCTGTTTGCGAAGAGGACGACAAGACCGAGTGTCCTTAATATACAAACATACAATACCAATGACGATAATAAGAATGATACAGGCAATGGCACTGCTATATATAGTTCTATCAATACGATTAACTCGAATATTGCGCAGAGAGGGATTATGATACTAACAATGGTAACACGAATGATCCAATTATGAATTATATTCATTGCAACCATGTTCTGCGGTAACCATTCCCTCTGTATATCGCTGTCAGAACTATGGAACATGAGGTTGTCATCGATTAGAGACCCCCTTTGCCCACCAATGAAGGCCGATTTGTATGCTAGACGTATCTATATATTCGATATGCGCCAGACAACGGGGGGGTGTCTTGTTTGTTTCCATGACCATTCCTTCTTCTTGGCCATTTTCTGTCCCAAAAACTGCGGTGTTCCATGGACCCGAGCCCTGCGTTAAACACACGGAGGTGTTTGGTCTCCAAGAGTTGGGGCTGGAAAAAGGGCCCGAAAGATGGGGCCTCGACGTTTCGGCGCCTTCTGGGGTTTTCTCGTCGAAGTTTCGGCGCTTCCAGGCCTTCCAGGCCTTGGTGTGTGCCGAGGAGGCCGAGCTTCTGGCGCAGGCCATTGGGCTTGGGGCAGTTGGGTTTACATTCGGTCCAGCTAGGTGTAGGTCCCCCAGCTAGGGGCCAACTTTCTCAGCCATTTCTTTTTGGGTTGGGAGATTCGGTTCCCCTACTGCTGCTTTACTAGGTCCAGCTAGGTCTTTTTTGGTTGGGAGATTCGGGACCCCTAAATACACGTCCGGAAAAAGTTGGTCCCCTTAGTCTGACCTCTCTACTGGAGGACCTTCTTTGAGTCGTTGGTTGGTGTGCTAGATGTGTGTGCTTTTTGCTTTTTCTTTTTCCATTCTTTTTTTGGAGGATACCCGCAGGCCAAAGGGAACACCGAAGCCATGATGAGGGTGCTTGGTGTGGTAGAGGGCATGGGCGTCTTCTTTGAGGATACCCCCTTGGGGGGAGAACAGTTGCTCGCTGCTGCAAATTTTGGTTCGTGGCCTCTCTTTTTTTGACTAGGAGCTAGGGATATCCAATTTCAGGAGTCCTGTAAGGACATTATAGTTGAGAATGACCCTTAGGGACATCAAAAGGAAAACCGAAGCCGTTTTGAGGGTGTTGGTTAGTTTGCTAGTTGGGTTTTAGCCAGTTCCTTTGGCATTGAGTTGGTTAGGATGTTAGTTAGTTAGTTGGTTAGTTAGTTTGTCTGTTTGTTTGTTTGTTTGTTGTTTATTGTCTAGATGCGTAGAAGATGCAAATCTTTCTTAGGGTTTGGGGCGTTGAGCCAGCACCGCAGCTGATTTATCCAATCTCCATTCATCCCAACCGGCGGGGTTTGTCCAGTGCAAAGTGCTTCCAGTTTCCAGTAGTTTCCAATGGCACCAGGAACCAAGATATCAATGCTATCAAACGTATGTGGGTCAAAATTAAGCCACTAGGAATTGGACCGCAGGTTTTAGTCCATGTTTCCATTTACTAAGGTTCCATTTTGGGGTTACCCTATTTTTGACCCACAGCCATATGGCCCAGACGGACGCAACTTGACCCCCCGCTCGTTTTCGATTTTCGATTCCAAGGCTAAAGAGTTGCTGGTGGCTCCGGACCTCAGGAGACTTTTCGGCTCTCGGAGTTTCAGGCTTCTAAACAACCGAATTGCAATTGTCCGAATTGTTAGAACAATTGAATTCTAATTGAGTTTCAGGCTTACAATTCGGCTTCTTCACATGTTCCCTTGCAATTGAACCGAAATGTAATTTGTTTTGTACCCTTTTAGTTGGCACCCTTTTGTTCAAAGGAGGGGCACGTGACCTTCATCTATAAGATGGGGGGGGGGGGTGAATGCGGCTGCAGTAGCCCCAGCTGGATTCCCCAGCATCCTGTAGATGAATGTCCCTTGGCACTAAAGCTAGTTTCCCACCATCCCAGCGGTGCCATGTCTTGAAGGGGCTTGTGGGCAAAATATTTTAGATCTCGATGGGGTTAATGTTAGCCCCAGATCAATCAACCCCAGTTTGTTACCCTGAGCATTTTCCCCTTTCGTCTCACTTCCTGAGTTCAGTTTCGGACTTTACTCACTTTTTTTGTGTGGACCGTTTTAGTGGTAAATACAAAATCAAGTTCCTTTACTCACTTTTTGGATGTGCATCATTTTGGTGGTGAATACATGTATGTATATACATATACTCAGAAAAAGTTCCTGGTTACATAGTTTGACCAATCCACTCCTTCGGTAAGTCGTGGGAACGCTCGCAGGACCTTGACGTCGACCCTGGCGCGGCGCCAGGTCTTCTGGGAGGACCGCCAGACCAGTTTTGCGAGTTGAAACCCTTCCATTTGCCAAATTTTCCAGATATCTGAAAGCTGTCGGGGTTCCAACTTCTTTTAAAGCGGGCGAAGTGATTTGCGAGTGATTTGCGAGTGATTTGCGAGATTGACGGCTGGGTGTTAGGGGGCACGCAGTTGTATTTCCCTGCTTGGTTTTAAAGGGAATCTATCGCTACTGAAAATATGCTTATGTTTTCCTCGGGCCTTGGGCAAGTGGAAGACACTCGGACTCGTTGTTCTGGCCGGCCCTTTTTTTGAGAGGGAGGGTGCCCTTTGCTCCAAAATTTGTTGAGGGGGGTCTCTTCAACGTCAACTACCAACAAAAAGAGTGCCCCATCTTGATGGTCGCCTTTCCAATTTGGCAACGGATCTTTGGACTGAATTGTTGGTTGAAACTGGACGGATTTCTGTGTTGGGGCACGAAAAGTCAATCGCTGTTTGCCGAGGGATCGTTACAGCAACCAAGTCGTTGTCTCTGCACAGGAACCCTCTTCCTATGTGCATGCACTTCGCGGCTCGCGGAAGGGAAGAAAGATTATAGGGGTGCCTTCCCCATTCTTTCCAGGGATCCTTCTTTCTAGAAAACCTCACGAATCCCAGGGAAAACAGCGGGTTTTTGAAAAGAACGATGGTTGAACAGAATGGGGAATCAACCCCTAGAAATGTTCGGGTTCTCGACCCCGTCATTTTGGCCCATAGCCCAGATCGATCCAGCAACTCCGAGATGAGAGATGCGCTTTGCCGCGGAACTCTGAAGATTGCAAACCACTGCGCCATGACATCAGCAACATCAAGAATCATATCAGCTCTGGCCAAGTCGTGCCTTTCTTTTCTGCCGCTGACGAGGGGGGGGGGGGGGCTCTGCAGACTCATGCCATTGGACTGCAAGGCTTTGGCTTTGAGTGGAGTTATTTGCTGAAAGGACATCAAAGGGCAGGTGCGTGTCCAGACCCACTATTTCACACCCAGTCGTAGCAGGCACTGTAAAGTACATAAAGTACAAGGAGACATGTCACAATGCAATGCATGGCAGAGTTGCTCAACGGTTCTGTTGCCTTGGCTCAAAAATAGGAATCGCCACATCAGGAAAAAAAGCGTCTCGGCGGACTCCCGTGGGGCCCCAGCGAGCGAATGCGAGCGGGGTTTGCGGGTTAATCCAATCTCGGGCTGTATGTTTGATCGGTTTGCATTTAGACTTAACGTCCCGGTTTTTGCTGAGGGTACATGGGACTTGATTAAGTCACCAAGCAAGCTGATGCAGCATTGCCAGTAACATGCCAGTAACTTGCTGACCGATCAGGAGCAGATCGAAGAGAATTGGCAGCAATGGTCACATCAGTCTGGGCTGTTTCATGAGGCCCGGCCCGTCTCAGTGCTGCTATGGTCTGGTCATGTCTGGTTGCCCTCCCAAAAAATGACGGGAGTAGCCAAACTTCCAGGGTTCAGATCCAGTCCCTGAAGTTGGTTCTTAGGCAGTTTTCTGAGGCCCACGATGTCCATGCGAGTCAAGCTCGGTCAGGTTCCCAACGCTTCGGTGGTTCTGGAAGGATACCTGGAAGGATACCGCAGCCTAGCCATTTCGGCTGGCCAAGGTTCCGAACACCGGCACCCTTGGGACAATCATCTGACATCCTTGAAAGCCCGTTCTCGGTGTCAAAGTGGTAAAGACCCCCGGCCCCAAATTTGGCGGCTTCTTCTGGCTTCGCGTTGAACCGACCCCCCACTGCTCGGGGGGGTACCTTTCAGGACCTTGGGAAGGTTTTAGATCCCGTTGGCCTGAGGAGAGCGGGAAAATGAGTTGCTTCCAGTTGCTTAAGCAGTTTTGTTGATTTGTCCCCTGTTGCTTTTAGGAACCGAGTTCACGACTGGACATGCTCATTTCTTGACTGCTGTTGGGCTGGATCTTTAGACTTCAACTTTTTGGGAAATCATGTTAGCACTTGAGTAATCAACTGGACTTCAATAATGGAAAGTTTTTGTCCTTATTCTGGTTCGCCCCCATTGTTGAAGGGGACCAGAATAATTGAAAGTTTTTTGCCCGGGGGGAAATTCAAAAAGAATCACACATCAATTATAATTCAAAAAACCATCCCCCCCCCAAACAATCACCCAAAATCCATGTTGACCCCATACCAAACGCCAACAAATTCACAAACATGCCCAAACAATCACACATGAAGCTCCATCAAAACTGGCCTCAACCACGTGTGGCCCACTTGCTTGAAAGCATCCCGGTGGCCCACTTGCTTAAAAGCATTCCCCTTTCAATTGGTTACTCAACCACAGAACCCAAAGCCAGCTGAAACCTCTGAAATCTGAAAACCATCCCCAGCCCTGAAACTGCAAACTCTTTACTAAACTGGGTGTAAAAACATGCAAAAAAAGCAATCAGGACAAGGGTACCCCTCACAGACCCCACT